CGTGTTCGTTCGTCACCCATATTCGGATGCAACCAGCGTTGTACATCAAATCTGTAAACACGCTAACTAACTTCAACATCTTCTTTCTCGCTGAACAATATGTACACACCTGTAGATTAATGATTTTCGTGGAATGTTTACTTCAATGTAATTTATATTTATTCCTGATTTTAATTTAGATGATAGTAGAGAGACTTCAATGCATACAATCTTAAAAAGTAAGTCACATTCTATTTTTAACAATATCTGACGGATGAGATTTAGTTCTAATTTTAACATGTTACCTCTCCAACATCATCATACATCAAATTCGTTTGCATTCGATTTTCTATCATTTTTTCCACTTGAAAAAACGGTGAAATTTGTCTGCTTCCATGAAATCGGATCCCTAATACAATATCGTCGTGTATAGTTATTTGATTCTCATGAACGATCGTTATTGAGCACCCTAATGCTTAAAGCAAGAGGGAAAAGTTCTCAAATACAAATTTCTAATTTTTCTTTTGTTACATACATGCTTCGGATACACGACATCCTATCAATGGAACTAAAAGAAAAGACACCTATTATTAATACTCTTTCATATACGGTAGTTCTTACAAATGAAAACAAAAATAAAAACATAGTTTTGTCAGGTTCAGAGAATTAGAAGAGTATGGGCCCATTGAAAAATTCTAGATTTTTATTTGGAGAAAAGACACCGTTATTTAACTATTTGAAATCGAAAAACTTTTCAATAGAAGGAAAAGAAATTGTTTAAATTATTTCTACGAAACAGTAGACCTTGAGTGTATCATACCACTGTTCAGATTTTTTTCCATTGACGGTTTGACAATTCGTCTGTTTTCTCCAAAAATTAAAAATAACAAACTCGTTGATTCAAAGCTCAACGAACTAATTGAAAAATATTTATAGTTAATGAAAGATTGAATTGTGGTCGCGCCTTTATCTGTCAACGATTTTTTGTCAAATCAAATTTTTTTGATTTTGAATTTTTGATTCTCTTTTTTGAAATTACTGAGTGAAAATTATTTGCTTTTATTAAACACTTGATTTTGATTCAGATAATCGGTTGGTATATTGTAAACTTACCTGATTATTGTACGTCACATGTAAGCATTAAGAACACTCTAAAAAAAAGTCGTAGATTAATAAACTATCAAAAAGAGTTTATTAAGACCAATAACCTTTTAATCCGTTTTTTAAAAGGTTTATGGATCTTAATAATCTCTTTTTGATAGTTTATTAATCTACGACTTTTTTTTAGAGTGAAGAGAAAAGATGATATCTAACATTTCGTTGAGGATATTTCTCTAATATACAAGAAAGAAAACAGAAAAGGTAACTGCGATCTATTTGTAGAATTATAAATGACTAACCAGAAGCAACTCGAACTTGATAATCGTACAATCATATTAATCGACATACATTCCCTACTAGAAAATGTGTCTGAATCGAGTATTTATGAACTGTTTTGAATAATATTACCAAAAGATCATATGCACTCTCATATCTATAATGGTGATGTGCTGTTCGACGACAAATCTAAAACATTATCGGCCATGGTATTATGGTTCATTTATTACTGATCTTACTGCAACAGTATGTTGTGAATATTCTCGTAGTGACCTAATCGACAAAGACTATATAAAAAATATTATAAATGGAAATGTGAAAATGAATGACAAATGCGACTAACAGGTGAAGAATGGTAGTTGTTATTGCCGTACTGTGTTATTCAGCCAGATATTATGTACAATACTAGCAAATAAAGCAAATAAAGTAGAAATAACAAGTAGAATAACAGAAACACTATTCACGCTATATCATCCAGTGAAACAATAGATTACTACGATTGAATCAAACAAAATTCATCACAACAAATAAAAACTACATTATGATAAACCCACAGAGCTCTTCGTTCTTTTTCATTCCGCAGAATCTTATAGAATGAAAACTTTCTTCTGTAGAGAGAAGCTTTGTCCCATCCGTTGGACGACGATCTCTGCAGTATCGTAACCAAGAAACATGGATCGATGATGCCAAATGTCATGTTTTGTAGAAACAGTTCATTTTCCCAATTTATATTGTACGGAAAAGTACAATTTAGTATTTTTTCGGTAATTCTAATTTCTTTGTGCTGAAAGCAACTTCTTGACAGCTATGTAAATGATAGAGAGGTATCTTAATTAGTCTTTAGATAGTAAAAACATAAATTTCCTAAAGAAAAATGCATATAACACTGTCGACTGAGTTGCCACTAGCGATTTCAACACCATATTCCAGCGACATTAATTTCTTTTCACACTTTAAAGAAACTTACACATATTTTCTGAAGATTATGATTATTTCAATCGATAACGATCAGAAAGAATATAATATCTCAACGCTTCTTATTTACTCTGCTACTTTCTTAAATATTTGTAAGAATAAATAAAGAGGATAAAAGACTTTTTCATGGTGAACTTTTCATAAAAGATATCGAATAGCGAATTACCGAAAGAATATATCTTGTCCGTACATCAGTCCTGAAATATATCACCGGAAAAAAAGTTGTTATGTTCTGCCATTCCTGGCAGATCATGTTCTCTTCTTTTCCTTTCTTTCTGTTCATTTCGTCCGTGACTAGGGCTGTAAAAGTTGCCGTTGCGTTGATTTAACGCTAACTGACAACACAGTTACCGTTGCGTTGATTTAACGCTAACTGACAACACAGTTACCGTTGTAATACCGTTAAAACAACGGTAACTGAAAAGACAGTTACCGTTGTTTTAACGATAAGTGCCTTTCTAGTTACCGTTGTTTTAACGGTAACTGTCTTTTCAGTTACCATTGAAATAACGGTAACTATCACTTAGTTAACTTTGTGGTCTTAATTATGGCAGAAATATCCAGGCAGCAGCTTTAAATGGCTTCTAAAATCGTTAGTTTTCCACTAAAACTGTTGAAACTTTGATAAATGACATGATTCTGATTGGCACACACGTGCCAGTCGACCAAGCTAATCGAAATTATATAACTTCAATATTTTGTAACTGCGGTTTTTAAGGTCTCTGGAAACCTCAGTATCTACGGCCAGCTTGAGAAATCTTTTTGTTTTTATCAACGAAATTAGACTACAAAACCATGCCATTTATGAAAGTTTCAACAGTTTTAGTGGAAACTAACGATTTTGGAAGTAGTGGCGTAACCAACAATCCGTGGGTGGTAGGGCAGTGCCCCACGACCTTTAAAAAAATCCATCTACGATAGTTTAAATTTTTTCCACAACTGAAATACAGTTGCTCAATTCTCACTTTCTTAAGAGAAAGACAATACACTGTATCTGCACTTTTATTAAGTGAAATTATGTGAACAAAAGAGAAAAAGAATATGAAATAAATAAACAAATAATAGTTATTTCAACATTATTCGACAAAAATCTTAGTAGAAACAATTATTTTTTGTTTCTCCCGGTGCCCGGGCAAAGACTGTCGGTGGCCGGGCGGCGCCCGGTCTAGCCCACCCCTGGTTACGTCACTATTTGAAAGCCATTTTAAGCCGCGGCCGGGATATTTCTGCCATACTTAAAAAATAGTTACCACAAAGTTAACTAACTGATAGTTACCGTTGTCGATAACGGTCGAAGAAGTAACGGTAACTTTTACAGTCCTATTCGTGACTCATTGTGTTCTTGTACTATCCTTACGTAATCCTGTTCTTGCGTAACACTTGTTTCATCCTTTCTTTTCTGTTTTGCAGTTGTTTTCCCAACTCTTTCTGTTCTTGTGCAACTCGCTCGCCTGTCACGCCGGCGACCCGGGTTCGTTTCCCGGCTAGTGCACCAATTGTGAGGTTCTATTCACTCACTTCTCATATTTATTTGCATAAAGTGAACGGCTATATATAGTACAAGAAAGAAGTAACAGTCGTGTAAGAGTTGCGCAAGAACAGAAAGAGTTGGAAAAACAACTGCAAAACAGAAAAGAAAGGATGAAACAAGTGTTACGCAAGAACAGGATTACGTGAGGATAGTACAAGAACACAAGGAGTCACGAACGAAATGAACAGAAAGAAAGGAAAAGAAGAAGAGAAGATAGTCTTATGAACTGCCAGGAATGGCAGATCATAACAAAACCAAAATTGGTTTTCAGCTGCTTTTTCGTACACTCGGTGACCAAGAAGATTCTTTAATTTTTTGCGAAAGATATTTCAAAAAGTTCAGGAAAAATTTTCAACCTAATATTATCTTCCGATGAAAATATTTTTGCGCCATTTTGTTTCAAAATTTGGCCTAAACTTTTGAAAGTACCTCTCGCCAAAAATAGAACATCTGGGCTATTAAACACTTTTTTGCAGCTCAAAATCAACTTTATTTTTTTTGTTTCGGTGATATGACTTTCAAAAGAACAGTTGTATAAAACCAAGAAATATTCTATTTTAATATGCCTTAAATCTTTTGATGGCTATTATTCCAGTGATATGCTGCCCGTGTACTGTTCATTAGTAAAAGGATGACTTTATATTCACTCTCACGTCTACTGATAACTTTAGTCAGAGGTCCAGAATATACCTGTTTGTTCCGACAAGCACCCGGGGGAAAATTTTTCGATTCGGTGGAAATTTTTTTTTTCAGAAAAAATTAGCAAAATAGAAGTTTTGCTGGAAGATAACCGCACATGAAAATACTCTGGCTATAGAAAATTTTTTAGAAACTTTCCTGTTGGAGAAAGTTTTTAGCTGTAATGGGTAAATTCTGCACCTCAGACTTCAACGCTGCACAAACAGTGTTTAGTGCATTATAGTCATCTTTTACAAGCCTTCTGGCATCAACTCCTCGTACGAACTGAAGTTTATTTTGGTGTCACTTCTAAAACTAATTTATTTTGTACATGGAATGTTTGTGTCCGACAGTTAGTTGTATTGAAAAAAGTGACTTATTTTGTTTGAGCAATTTCTTAGCACAGTCGTTTCCACGTCTATGTTTTAGGTACACGTAGTCATTTAGAAATACATACATAATGCCTTCCGTTGCTCCGTTACGTAATACGAAAGCCGAAGAGATATCAAAAAAACTTAAAGGTGTTGAACGGTAATATTCTTTGCCTGTAATTTCGCTTATCTTAATAATTTTTTATGATTTTAGGTACAATCCACATAATACAAGTTTACTCGAAGAATACGTTCAACATCAAATCGATAATCGTTTATATGATTTCGATGCAAATATGGCTTTATTAAAAATGTAAGTTTATGTGAGAGATCTTTGCAATAAGATAAGGAGGATTTCTCTTGTAATCAGTTGGTCTGTGTCCCAGTGTACGATGACTCATCCAACCATGTTACCGATTTTCTGCAAAAGTACGAACTTATTTGTGTTAACAATTGATTGGATGAAAGTATAAAGTTTAAACATAAATTGAACAGAATTTTATTTCCTATTTTCATTCTTTTATGATTTGTTACAGTTATAGCGATATCCACTATTCGTTAGTTTAGAAGTCCCTTTTCATCCAGTCGACTAGAGACCTCTAAACTTTTGAATCTCCAATATCTCTTTAATTATAAGCGGGCATAAAGAAATGAAACGAAGAAACGAGATCTGATTTAATTCTTATTTAAACTTGAAACTTTCATCCGATGAATTGGTAACACAGAAAATTTGAAAAATCTATGAATGATTGGCATTTTTTTTCAACAATTTTCTATACAAGGTATATTCTATCTTAAAAGCAAGACCACTAACTTCGTGACACACAAGATATATTTGTACTTCTTGAGCACACATGAAATTTTTCGAGACAGCTGCAAAATTTTTCACGAGAACATCAACTAACATATTGATCAACACTTCATGAAGATTATCGCAATGTTTTGTGCTGCATTTATTCTCTAGGCTACACATATGTTATTATTTTAGGTACCAATTTAATCCTGATTTTTTTCAACCGAACATTGTGTCGAATATATTGTTATTGGCATTATCAAATCTTCCAAAACCAGATTTTTTACTTTGTAAATATTTGCTTGATACGCAAAAAGTATGTGTGCAATGTTCTTTTTTATATATTATATAGATATTTTTCATTTTTTCTTATTCAGTGTCAACAAAGCAAACGTTTACAGGAAATATTGCATTATGCTGAATTGCTTGAATCTTGTCGATTTCAAGAATTTTGGGTAATTTATTCATCTATTACTAAGTTTTTCGTTACAATTACTTGTTTTCTTTCGATGTAGAATGTACTCGATAATAATATTATCAAAATTCCTGGGTTTGAAGAACGTATTCGAGACTGTAAGTTTTTAAAACTACATTTTTCTTTTAAAAATTATTTTCTGTTTTGTTTTAGTTATTTGTCAAACTGTTAGTCGAACGTATCAAACAGTCAATCGACAAGAATTAGAATCGGCTTTGGGTCGTCTTTCATGTATGTTATGGTCCATTTTCATATACTGTATCTATACACTTGTTAATTTATTTGATTTAGTAAGTGAATTTGAAGAATTAATACAAAGCCGTGGTTGGAAAACATTAACTGGTGACAAAGATTATATATTTATAGCGAATCATGAAGAAAATATCAAATCAAGAAACATAGTAGAAAAAATCAAGTTTGAACGTATGTATTTTGCACCGTAACTTATTAGCAAGAAGTTTTTCACTTACAAGGGAATCTTCCCAGGTGTCAAGCTCCGTTTTCAATGATCTTATGCCAGTTGATAGAGGAAAGTGCCCTAGTTAAAACCCTAAAAGGATTTGTTTCCATGATACTTCTTTCAAGAGTTATGATTTTTTTTTGTTTTGCCGGGAAAACAGGCACAAAGATACCATCTCGATAAAAACAGCGAATTTTAAGCTGACATTTTTTTCTACAAATGTTCTGACATTCTTTTGAAGTTTTAACTAGGACCTCTATCAACTGACATGAGATAGATCATTAAAAACGGAGTTTGATACCTGGGAAGGTTTCTTCGTTAGATAAAATTTTGTTAACTACTCTTCGCTCTTTATCTGTTTTTGAAATGACTACAATATCAATTTACACTCCTTCATTTAGATGTGGCGGCCGTGATGAATATTTCTTAAAAATGAAGAAATGAATGAACATCAAAGTATTAAGATAATTGAAAAACACGATTTCTTGTTTTTTTAATTCATCTAACAATTAAACTCGTCTATTTTCAGTTATTTTGTTTGAATAAAAGCAAACAACGATAATTCACACCTCAGAGCACTATAGTTTTAATTACGATATACAGAAGAAATTCATAGAGTTTATTTTCTGTTTTTTAACGAACTTTTGAATATTTTTAAAAATTCTTTTTTTTTATTTAAGTGAACAGACTGGTCTAAAAACATAAATTTTACTGAATGTCATTTTGAATTCCATGTTTTTATCATATTTTCCAGTTGAAAAGTGTTTACTTCATATAATAATATACCCGATGTTGTTTTATTTCCATCTTGAAATGTTTTGAGTAGAATAGAAGCCGTATTCTCTCAGAATATAAGCGAAACACGTATTTTGAACTAAAAAGTATCGACAGATAAAAACGTTTAATTTTGTACAAATAGCTCAGAAATGCATCAGAACTCGAAGACAGTTCAATTCTTATTTTAAATCAGAATAGACTGACTAGTTTATGATGTATATAAACAAATATAATATAAATTGTTCATCCAATTTTGAATTGAACATAGAAAAAATTCTTGAAAATAGTAAACATGCTTTGTGGGGATGCTATAAAAGTTGTTTTAAACCGCAGAATATGAGATTATATGAAAAGAGTATGCGGACACATTATTCAAACTTTACACTGACATAAATCCAAATATTTTAATCTAACTAAATTTAATGTCCTTCAACGAAACAGCTTTACAAAGATAATCATCACTTTCAAATTTACCTTGTCGATTTTTTCTATTCTACAATAAATTTTTCAAATGCACCATATTCAGATAATAACAAAATCCAATTGTAAATAATAGAAAGCAATTAGAGTTACATTAATTGTTCATTTCTCAAATACTGATTTTGTATGTTGCATTGATTTCATATTCATGAGTAACTACATCAATTTCTCCTATATAATAAAATAACCAATCATCCATTCTCATAAGTAGCACAATCTACAAAAGTGGATAACCAATCATCTAGTAGAACAACAGTTTTGATTTGCTAAAATGGATAATGAGTGATAACAAAGGAAATTCATCCATCCGCTGTTCTTGACTACAGAAAAGAGGATGACATGGTCGTGTACCCTTACGATGTCAAGTTTATGTTTGCATTCAACTTAATCTTAACACTCTCAGAAATGCAGCCACTTTGTTCGCCAGCAACCAGGTGACAAAATCGTTTTTTCACCTAGATACTAGCGAACGCGAACAAAGTGGCTGCATTTCTGAGAGTGAGTGAATCGTCGTTGATGTTATAAAAGTAAACTCACTATTTGATAACGGTC